CTTATATAAGATTCTTATACATAAATTACGCATTTCCATCGACTGCCTTATAAGATTCTTATAAGATTCTTGCAGATATTCTGTAAGATTCCTATAGGAATCTTATATAAGATTTGATCTCTAGGGAGAACGCCAATTAAAGATTAGCTCGATCGTTTTAAGATGATGCAGAGAGACGGTTACCATTAGTACTACAAGAAAGCTGCAATTTGTTTAATTTAAGAACAGCTAAAGTTTTTTTATTTATATCTTGCACCCGATGTAGAGGTTTTGAACAAAGAGATCGTACATCAAGATGCATGTATGCAAATAGCATTTTCTTTTACTTCGGAAAAAAAAAGATACTGTTATTCATCACTTCCTTCGTTACTCCAAACGAGGAAAAATGACTGAAAACGGAAATAAAAGTGTTGATTCAGTTCTCTTTTTAAATCAACAACAAAACTTAAAAGGATTCATCCATTCTGATTTTTAGAAAGCGGTTTGATGTAACGCAGAAGATGTGAAGAAAAAATGAAGTTGTCAATCATGCAGTAGCCATGGTTTCATTACTCTACTCAGAAGAGCAACAACAGTATGATTTTTTACTTAGTATTATTTGGGCACCGACATGAAAAGCCTTTTTTTTAAGTGTCAAGATAAAAAGAAAAAAGTCTATTACATTAATTTAAAAAACAAAGAACGAAACGATTGTTCATCACACTGCAATGAATCGAAAAGTGAATCGTGCAACAGTGAATCGCCCAACTAAAACAAACAATGCTACGTATGAAACTATAACACCAATACGACAAGATCGTTCATCACCATTAGCAGCTATTCATCCAGATTCAACATTAACTCAAAGGCTTTCAGAACAAGAACATTTTCCAGCAATAGCGGCGACTGCCGTTACTCCGCGAAAAGTCTCTGCAGTTAAACCACAACAACGACAAATTACGGATGGACGACGAATTAGTTTTACAAGACCTACAACAGCCGCACCCCGAGGCGCAGACGAACAACAACAAGTGAAAGAAAATGATAATCAAGATAGTTATTTACCACTTAAAATATTTGATGGTAAAAAAACGTCGGTAAAAGATCTGACAGAAGCAAGTAGTTCATATTTGTGGTTACGACGAATTAGAGAAATATTTCTTGTGATGGGCAAAGCCAATGATCCATTTTCACAATTTGATATGGAAATAGCTCGAACGGAAATGATAAAAACATGTGAAAGTTATATCAAAAGCAAAAAGCCAAAAGAAACCATTAAAGAAGTAAATTCCCCACAAAATAGGGAGTCAATGACTTGTATTTTGTTGTAGCAAACAAAGTTACATTTGCCTGAAAGTCGTCATTATAAGACATCTTCCAAAAATTTCTCTTCTGACTAGCCGTCTATTATGCAGTGCACTACTAATTTGGAAGGGAGCTTTTATATCTTATGAAAAGATCATTCGTACGTTAAGCGACCGCATAAGATATAAAAGCTCCCTTCC